AGATCGCCTCGGCATGCTGTGCCGCGAACGCCTTCCCGGCTTTGGATGTCCCCGCTTGGAGAATCACGGGTGTGCGTTGCGGGCTGGGTTGGCAGATGTGCGGGCCGGGGACGGTGAAGTATTTGCCGGTGTGGTTGATCTCGCGGACTCGGGTTGGGTCTGTGTAGATGCCGCGGGTGCGGTCTAGCACGACGGCGTCGGAGCGCCAGGAGGATTCCCAGAGCTTGTAGGTCACTTTGATGTATTCTTCGGCTTGGGCGTAGCGGTCGTCGTGCTGTGGGTGGTTAGTATTGGGAGGTGATCTTTTGGGGGATCAGTGAAGGGTGGGTTAGGGTACCTGGGGTTGCTGGGTGTGGCCGAGGTTACGGGCTGCGGAGTCGAGGTAGCCCGTTACGATCTGGTTTGGTTAGCTTGGTGATTGTTATTAGTTGGGTAGGTGTTGCTTACGTTCCATCCTATCCTGGTTTCGATGTTAGTATTAGTAGTGACGACGAGGGCCGTGAAGAGTGACTTACCGTCCCTTAGTGAGATGATCAATAGTAGACAGCCGACGCGCAAGATGATACGGCTGCTCATATGTCGTTGTGACAGTCACTCCGAAGCCGATATTCTGAGTCGCGGCCGCCATGGCAGGTATGACAGCTAATGGCTCGTTGACGGGCCATTGCGCGCCAGATACAATGGCTGGTTCGAGGTTGCGGGGGCCTTTGTATACGTCGTAGCCGCCTGGGGAGGTTACTATCTATGTATATCATAGAGGTATTTGGGAATAAGAGCTACCTAGGACATCTGCGATGAAGATTCCGTGGAACTTGGCGGATTCTAGAAGCTTTGCGAGCTCAATCCAGTGGTCGATGTCGTTGAATCGGTGCGATTCGTCCTCTGGGTGTCGCCACAGTCCTGGGGACTGGTGGCCACTACCTGGGGGGTGTCAGCGATTGAAGAAGAATTAATTTGGGAGTGCGTACACATTTCAACGAATGCATTGAGAATTAATTGTTTGCGGGGTCGAGATGTAGCGTTGTCGGTAGCCATTGTGGAAGGTAGATAGGAGGATAGGTTAGTGACGGAGAGGCGCTGGCTTAGGCTTTTCGAACCGGCAAAGGCTGAGTCTTCGATATGAAATATAAGAAAAAAAGACTAGTCAAATATAAAGTTCTTGCTCAGAGATCAACCGCGAATAAGTATGGACCATAAGTGTGCAATTCAGTCTTCGCTGGAGGGGATGTTCAGTAGCATCACAGTGGGCCGGGATGACGTGATGGGGAGATGAGGGGTCGCCCATTTACAGGGATCACATACTCAATACAACCCCAAATAAGAGCAAGGATCTGTCTGAATCTATTCATCTGAAATCTGGACACAACGATTTCTGGTCGAGAATAATATGACCTCGGTAGTTGGTCGAAAACTTGGCACAAGCCACCTTGGGCTCCCGGAGCATCCACCCCTGCCCTATCTTTGGTCCTCTTCCGCCAACTATTGTCCCTGTCACGCAATAACTTAACTTTATTGACCTTACGCTACATGGACAATCATGCACGTATATCGGCCGAATAACTTTAAATCCAGATATATTATCCCCAGGATCTTGGAACCCGGTCAAAGCACCTCATATGCATAGGCTATCGTATCATCAGGGAACACGATGTTCGCGGTAGCATACAATGATCGGCGGATAGCGTGATAGTAGCGATAATGTGTGCTGTGATGTAGATCTTAAAGGTACATTTGCCGGGGTGCCTCCACATAGTCAGTTTTGTCTTTCTGCCGCTGTTGAATGCTGCATTGTCTAGCCACCGGAGTATTTTGACCAGATGTCAGAAATCCAAGCTCGTGCAGCAGGGGCATCTGTGCAGCCGCCACTGTCTCAGGCTGTCGGATATGTTATTGTCGTGGTGCTAGGGCTTATCATCGCCGGTGGTATGTACACCGAAAGTAGACGAGGATTGCAGCTGACAAAACAGTGATGATGGTCATCACCAAAATACTCAAGAAAACAACCGGCGAAGACAACAAGAAGACTGAGATGTACGTCCCATAAGGATAATGGGCTCTCACCTGCTAATATTTCAGGTTCATGACTGCCAATCGCACCGTTCGAACCGGCTTAACAGCGTCCGCAGTAATATCGGTATGAATCCACCTTCGGTAGTGGTGTATTCCTGCTAAGTAAACAGTCCTGGTTATGGACAACAGCAATGCTAGGAGCATCGTTTGTGGGGTATGACTATGGCGTGGCTGGTCCATTCTGGTTTGCCGCAGGCTGCAGTCCGATGATTGTCTTTTTCGCCTTGATCGGGATATCCTGCAAGAGAAAGATTCCGGATGCACATACGTCGCTCGAAGTGGTCCGGATCCGTTATGGTAGGCTGCTCAGAAGCTATACCTACTGGCTTGTTATTGATGTTTTCAGGTCGTGTTGCACATGCGGTCTTCATGACCTTGTGCTTGATTAACAACATCTTTGCCTGCGCGAACATGCTCCTGGGTGCTGCTGCGGTTATATCAGCCATGTGAGTGCTTCACCGAAATTTCGAACCTTACTGACCATACAGAACTGGGATGCACATCATTGCTGCGACGTTCCTGTTGCCCGTTGGCGTTACCGTGTACACCTTCGTAGGCGGCATCAAAGCAACGTAAGTGCCCAGCTGAAGAAAGAGTACGCTATGCTTACCGGGATAAGATTCCTTACGGACTACTTCCATACGGCGATCATTCTCATTATTGCATGCTATCTCTCGATCAAAGCGTTTACCTTCGAAGAGGTTGGCTCGATCGACAAGTTATATGAGCTCGTGCAAGCCGCTGCGCAGCGCCATCCTGTGTCTGGAAATCAAGATGGGACATACCTGACCATGACTTCGAAGGGTGTACGTACTATAGTCCATGTTGTTGTCTCTGCTAACAAACTCAGGCTATCCTGTTCGGGATTCTTCATATTTGCTCCAACTTCGGCCTAGTGATTGTAAGTATAAACACACCAGTCTCAGGAATGCCTAACATTTCTCCCAGATGGATACTAGCTATTTCATCAAAGCATTCTCCGCCGCTCCCTCCTCCGTAGTACCGGGCTACACTATCGGTGGGATTGCTTACTTTGCTATCCCGTGGGCCCTAGGCACCATTATGAGCTCTCTTGCACTCGGCCTTGAGAATACGTCTTCTTTCCCGACGTACCCCCGCGTAGGTACTGTCCACCTTTGATCGTCGAAGATACTAATTAATGCAGCGCATGACTTCCACGGAAGTCAGCAATGGTCTTGTCCTTCCATACGCAGCCATGACTATTGCAGGAAAAGGCGGAGCGGCTGCAGTCCTCCTCATTACCTTCATGGCAGTAACTTCGACACTCTCTGCGCAAGTCATCGCCGTCAGCTCCATCCTAAGCTTTGATGTATACCGAGAATATATAAACAAGGCAGCAACAGATAGGGATATTATCCGTGCAAGTCACTTTGGTGTCATTTTCTTCGCTGCCTTCTCTGCCGGATTCAGCACTATGCTCCATTACGTCGGTATTGACCTAGGCTGGACACTATATATGCTCGGTAAGCTTCCATCTCAGCTAACGTCGGGGCAAATGCTAATTAAAATAGGTGTGGTAACCTGTCCTGGAATCTTTCCCATGGCATTTACGATCCTTTGGCGCCGACAGAGCAGAGCAGCCGCTATTCTGTCCCCAATTCTGGGAATGGCGACCGGCATCGGGGTGTGGCTTGGCACAGCGCAGCACTTTTATGGTGCAGTATCTGTCAGTTCAACAGGACAGATTCTACCTTGCGTCTACGGAACTGTAGCATCTGCTTTCTCGCCGATCGTGTACTCTGTCGTGATCACCCTAGTCAAACCACAAAGGTATGACTGGGCGGAGTTCCGCAAAGAGAAGCTGGGACTCGAGCGACTGGATAGTGATAGCGATATCACGGTGAATGGTCAAGGTGCTGAAGCACAGCACACTCAGTCCTCGTTTGATCCCCAGGAGTTGAAGAGATGGGGTCGTATTGCTGCATTTTGGTCTATTGCAACTTTCTTGGGCCATTGGGTGTTGTGGCCACTGCCGATGTACGGATCGAAATATGTTTTTGGAAAGAGGGTGAGTATTTGTCACCACTACTCACGCATGATGATCGGTGAAGTGCTAACAAAATGTCAGTTCTTCACTGCTTGGGTCGTTGTAGGAATTATCTGGTTGTGGATCACAATGCTCGTGGCGATATTCTATCCCCTTATTGATGGGGGAGTGCAGCAGATGATGCAAATATCTCGAGGGCTGCGTGAAAGGAAGAATGCAGTCACGTCCTCATCAGTGCCATCAGTGACTAATGATTCGCCCGAGGTGTTCAGAGTGAATGAGAAGTCTTGATCATAGTGTAACTTCGTGGAACATTCCGAGTCACAGGGGGATGTCTATGGATCCTGCCTACGCATGATCGGCATCAAATATGAATGTTAAGTGGTGACGCTATTTTAGCGCGTGTAAATGTCCGACTATAAGAGACCGCTGTCTTTTGTCGTTCAGTTTCAAGAACTTCATCATTACTATAATCGAGTCGGTTGCTTGTCTATATATATATTGGCCCTTTAATATATCATATCCATGTTATCCTATGTTACACATTTCCTCACGCAGCAATTATTTACACAGAAGGATTGCTTGGGCTGTCAGTGCTGGATAGACAGATTGATCTCTCAGTCGAGAAAATCATGGTTCTGCTTTGCGGTGTCTGCAAATCAGGTCTCTCAAGGACATCAGTCGAAAATGGGACTGAACTGGCTTACTCAGCTAGGGTACTTGATCATTTGAGACATCCAGTCACTGTAACAAGGCACCTATCAGATCCTCCGTCGTATCTGCTATCTATGTGGATTTTCCTTCTGGCCTTTGTTCCGAGGCTGCACTTTTGGGAATCTAGACGGATCTTGGATATAAAAAAGCCTTCCCTCGACTTCTACAGATATTGTCCAGCTCCGGAACTTGGCTACATACTTAAATGATGGCTGCGACATTGCCACTCGAGCTGCTTCAATTGATTGGAGACAGTCTGAAGAAAGAAGGAGTACCCCTATCCCCCTGTACCACTGTTTGCCGCTGGTGGAAGGAGGCTTTTGAGCCTTTCATTTATTCTCGGGTTGTGGTTTGTAGTACGCATGCCAATGAGAAAGCACCGGTGTCCGGAATACCTATTGATGTTTTTGAGGACATCACTTCACACGCTGGAGCCGCTCGTCGCATGATGATTCGGGCAATTGAGTATCGGGTATGTGTTCCGTATAAGCATGAAAATTGGTCTGGCTACATGTATAGCCACTATGACCCAGCAAAACCATTTGGACGAATAATGAACCAAGCCTTCCGATCCGCAATCTTTGAGATCTTCCGTGTGCTCAGTGCGTGGCCCCGGTCCAGCTGTCTCTCTTTCGACGTGGGAATAGTGGGTTTTAGGCTGGTGAATGAAGTGAATGAACCGTCAAGTTCGCACCATTCAGCCTCCATGCTACCAAACATTTTTTACCTGGATAAGATCTTCTTTGCGGGCCTTTGCAACCCATATGACAGACTTGGGGACCACCAGATTTACGCCGAGGCAATCTACGACATTGTAAAGCATTGCCCGTACCTCACGGAGTTGCGTATGAATCTGGGTTATCCGCAAAGGCCGGAGGAACTGGAGTATTTGCGTGCCAGACGCTTAGGTATGAAGAAGTATCTTGTCTATTGAACCCCCATCTTTTCGTTTTCGGCATTATACAGAATCATCGGATTGTTCACTTACTAATTTCTTGTTCTTTGGCAAATCAGCTGTGCCTCGTGGATCTACCATTTTACCCCGCAGTCTGAAGGTCTTCCACCTCAGAAACGAGACTGAAACACCAGGAAGAACTGTCATGCCTCTTCTGAAGGTGTTGACTTCGGAGGCACAGAGTGTCGCTACAACTAGTAGGAATTCTAGTGCAAGTCTCCGTGATTTGAAGTTGGAAAATACCGCGCTGATGTTAGATTTCCTTTGCCCCCTCAACAAAGAAGGGCAGCCTACTCTTCCCGTCGTGTACTGGCCACACTTGGAGACTATATCATTACACAACGTCACTTGCTGGACTGATGAAGGTACGACTTGAGCGGAACAGATACTTGATTATATATTTATGGAGAAGCTAAGATTATACGGATCAGGGAACTGGCTCACCCTTCCAACCGAAGAAGCTGAAGCTCGGATCGCTACTGTACAGCAATGGGAACAAGACCATGATCATCCAGACGATAGTCATCCATCGCAGCCTGTCACTGAACTCGAGCATTTTCATCGATTGTTCATCTCTATGGGCCTAGCAGTCCAACATATGCCCCGCCTATCATCCATTTACTTCCACCCTGGTGCGGAGACCGAGTTGACTTTCGAATTCCGAGTCATCACCGGCAGGTACGCAATTGCCACCTGGTCCTCCAGACCAACTTATCGACCGGATCACAGAGTCGCCGATGCATGGGGTTTCAGCGAGGAGGATCTGAGACATGCAGAGCTCGGGGAGGTGGTATATTCCGTACGGTTTATGGCCCACATGGTGTAATGGCAACCATAGTAGTCGACACTGAGTATGCATCTAATGGTAGAAGACCCTATTGATGTCTACTGCCAAATTGTATTGGGCTTGAATCATGTGGCTACTACAACAGACTACAACAGAGGAGGGATAATTGGCTAGATGCCCACTGCCAGGAATAATTCAAGACGGCCATAGAACGTAGTTCTTATTCAGGTCTTTCTCCACCGCCGTCCGTCTGCTGAATATGGTGTAAAACTTCTGCAGTTTTCTAAGACTTATGTGCGGTGGCGCTGTGGACACAATTCTGAATTTCTATAGTGACCTATCAATATAAAGAGGTACTGCCCTGTTTCCTAGTCATTGAAGGTCTGCAGAGCTACCCAGCGACACATCAGACGCTCGAGCGGCTCGTACTATAATTATTTCGAATACAATCAGATCCAACCCAATACTGTACCGTACCATGTAGTTGGAGCAATGTACCTATCACACCTTGAATTTGACCCTAATGTGTGAGCATGTCGCTCCACAGCCCTCAAGATATGCTGCCTAGATTTACAAAGCAATTTATAACTGTCGAGAGGGTATCATCGTCACATAACCATAACCAAAAGTGTTCCGATGGTATACATTTCGATTCCATCAACTCAGACTAGCTCACACCAACCCACACCGATTAGGATTGGATACATAGCTTCCGCATTGGACGACACGGAGTATATTACAAGATGTTACATTGTACGCAAGACTCAGATGCGGAAGTGAATTATATTCCGATCTGTGAGGCACCTCTCTTAGTCATTGCTCTAGTCCCCCGTACCACTCACCTAATTACAACATGTTGTTGAAATCATCATAAGTTTGTCCTTCCTTAATCCATCGAGAGAGACCTGTTTCTCACTCTGCCGAGAAGGGATGGGTTTCCGTCTCACAACGCGTCCCCTCTGGCGGCAACTCTCCCGTGCGAAAGTACGTCTTGATATGATGCTCCGTACACACCGAACGGGAAGCATACGAGCAATGCTACAGCGAATGTCAATAAATCGAAGAGAATACATGAGGGAAATCGGGATAAACATACACCTTCAGCTTGCTGCTCCAGCACCACGGACCGTTTGAACAAGGCGGACATAGCATGGGCGCTAATAAAGTGGTTAGCATATCCAAAATGACAATAAAATTCACTTCAAGGCATACTCAGCAAGTGGGGTTACTGGATCCAAAGTATTGCTGACAAATAGAATGGGCGTAGACACATTCTGAGCACCGATAGGCCCTTCACGAGAATTAGCATGCATCTAAGCCAACAGCAATATGAACAGTGCAGTGAGCATACCTTCGAAAGACCCCGGACCCTGACCCTTCCAACTAGCACATGGCATATAGAAGTCTGCAAAAGTATCTCCAATCCAGTAGCTGCTCTCCAACACTGGCTTGAGATATAGCTCTGAATATTCCTCTTGCGTGATATTGATTAATTTCTGTCTCAGATCCAGACACGCAATACCCTCTGTGAGTTCAATTCGAGAGCCATATTGGCAGGCTTCACGGCATGGAGCAGAAAATTGGCATGCAGAATCGAGACAATGAGCAGGCTGTGTGTCCTCCCGTAGAGCAGCTTTCCATGCTGCCATGCTGCTTGCGTTGCCCTGTTCAAGGTCTGATAAGATCGTAGCAAGAATAGGAAATAAATCATTCGGGGCATAAAGGGCGGTTTTGAGCAAAGATTTGACATCGGAGTATGTAATGATCTCAGGGCTGGGTTGACTAGTCCAGAGCGGAGTGGCTTTCAGGTCTGCTAGGATGTCAGTAAGGCGCTCTTGAAGACAACTTATCGCTTCTGTCTCGTCTTCATCGGGAGGCAATGCATTAGCAGACGCATCAGCAAATGCACATCGGGGATAGCCGGCCCGGTGGCAATAGCGGAAGAAACTGTCTACTACAAGATCTGCATCGCGGAAGGAAGTAGAGAGATGTCCTGAATACCAGCCTAGTACGTCTACCACTCCGTCCAATACCATCCGATGAACTTGGTCTGGGAAGAGACTGGCATAGGTAATTCCTAGAAGAGTTCCATACGAGTAGCCCCAATATTGTAGCTTTGCATTTTGGTTAGAACCGGGCTGCAGTAACTGGGCAAGATGGCGCAGGTCATGTGCTGTGCTCCAGGTATTCATGTAAGGACCAATATCAGCACCACCCTTCTCGGTTTCCGTACATGCGGTGCCAATAGCCTGCATGTGAGACCAAAGATAGTCTTCCGCATGCTCGGAGCTATCCACTAGACCTCCAGCCTGTACAGCCTCCTTCCAGAGATAGCTGGACAGAAGATCAGGGAAGCATGAAAGCGGGGGCAGGGTGTTTCCGACGCCTCGAGGATCGAACGAAATAATATCGAAATACCGCTCCTCCTTGTCAGAGCTTTCGACGATGTTCTGAATTTCTTTTCCGCGGTTGAGAATCTCTTGCACTCCTGAATCACCGGGGCCACCTTATTGAAAGTGAGTAATCATGACATATGGTTTTCAAGCTATCTAATGTTGTAGGAGTAGTGTGTACCTGGATTGATTATGATGGAGCCACCGTAGCGTTTGTCGCTATGGTCGACCTCCGTGGAAAGCTTGATAATGGCCAAAATGACGGTATCATTGTCAGTGGTATCGGACCAATTTAAGGGAACCTCGAGACGCGCGCAGGAATAGTTCTGGTAGCAGGGTACGAAGTTGAGGGTGGACGTAGGAGCCGTCTGGTAAGGCATTTTAGAAAACGGAGGATATCAAGATATGAGGAAGTATGCATACGCTATTCCAGGAGAAGTTCCCAACTTGCGCCGTGGCTGACGACATTGTAGGGGATGGCGTCGTGAGTGGAACTAGAGATGAGAAATGAAGGAGGCGAGGGCATAGACGGCCTACTATATACCCGGAACTGTGGCTGAGGTGACAACTTTGGGAATAATGATCCCTTAAAGAGCATTAAAGTAGGTATTTATATTTTTTTATTTGGGAAGCCTACTATGCGTCACGATAGGAACATCACTTATGCTGGAACCTGAATGCTTACTGCTATTCGAGATCAGAAACCCAGTAGTACAATCCCTGAGCGGAGGAACTAGCCGCTGCGGCCTTGATCGACGGATGCGCCCGGTACGCCGTTGATCTTACCCTCGGAGATATCCTTTATCATCCCAAAGTGTCTACAAAGTGGCATTATGCTCAAACTTGCCTCAGAATGATCCAATAAGGATGAGAAAAGCATCACATACTACTTTCTATATGGATGGGTTGCCCACAATACTTCTCTGAATTTCAATTTGGGGGAGGCAGCCCAGCGGACGACACGAGCCACCAACATCGAAGCAACGCCGATTGTCTCCAGCTGTCCTGCGATTACTCTAGGCATAAAGAACCGTAGCTCCATAAATTCGCTATCTGAGGCGATCATGCATGAAGTAAGATATATGCCAGGATATTGGACTATATTTCTGTGATACAGTGGCTGCTCGGCTTTGTCTTTCTTTTTGTTTGTCCTTGAACTATTGCAATACTAGCCCATTTTACGTCAGCTATTGATCCCTGCAAGCACACCGCATATAGGCCCTAGCGTGTAAGAAGCCGAAGTAAAAATATTGACACAAGGTCTACCATATGCAGCAAGCCGCTGAGATAGTAGTTCACAACCAAATGATAAGCTATTTAAAGACAGACTATTCGGTCTAAACCCAACCTGCTGCCTAAACCAGCCCAGCCTCCTGCTTGACCGCCTCCAACCAAAACAAGTCATCGGCGTACGTCTGATTCCATGGATCATCACTCTCATACGCGAACAGCCTCGCCCGATCCTGGATCATTTGATCCGACGGCCTGCATCCGTTGGCCATTTGCCTGCGAATAAACTCCAGCAGGTCGCGATGGACATCAAAATATCGATCCAAGGCAGTCGGTACATCCCACCGGAAAGGGATCTCATCGTCCTCTTCATCCTCTTCCCTCGGCATAGGAAGCACATCTGACGTCCTCCACGGATCAGGCGTCTGCGCCTCACTCCCAACTAGATACGGCGGTATCGCATTTTCAACGAGCCGCTGCACTTCCGGCTCGAATCCCCAGTCGCCCATCCACTGCTTCATGTCCGCCCCGTGCTTGAAATGCTCTGCGACATGGTCGACTCTCTCCTGCCAGGATTGGAATGTTGCACTGCAGAACCCGCAGCGAGAGAGGATGTGGTGGCTTCGACTTTCTCGCCAGGTGTTCATTGCTGCGTGGAAGGTGTCAACGCGGTGGGTTAATTTCAGGTGCTGCCGGAGGTTGTCCTTCCGGGTGAAGATGCGCTGCTCGGGTGGTTTCTCGAGACAGATGCTGTAGTTGTGCACTGTTTCGAGATGATCGTCGGTTACATTGGTTTCCTGGCAGAAGATGCACGTGGGTGTGCCGTTGTTGTCGATGAGTCCGCCTTCAGGGGAACAACGCCATTGGTCGACTGGAAGATGAAGGGCTTTTTCATGGCGCTGCCAGTCGTATTTCGTTGCGAATGTGTCCGCGCAGAATGTACACTGGTAGGGCCGACGAGTCCACTGAAGGCGATTTGCATGGCGGATGTGTTTCCGACGATGACGACGAGATTGTGGGCGATGAAGTGGAGTTGGTGGGCGCTGGGGAGGCCTGTGCGATGATAGGGCGACTGATATTTCGGAGCTAGATGACTGGCTGCGAGCGCAACTGCTGATGGAAGCATCTCCCTGGATGAAGGAGCCACTGGAGTCGTTGCTTGACCAGGCGTACTGGGGAACGGTGTATGGCGAGCTGTCTGATAAGGCAGAGATATCGCTATCGGCGAGAGCTCGCAAAATGTCGTCCGTGGCTGCGGCCTCACTTTCTGGTGGCGAGCTCCTCCAACGTTCCATGGGGGATAGAAATGACGGGCTCTGACGGGCAGACATATATCCTCTGGAACGCTTACGCCGTCGAGCGTTAATGAACCAGTTAGAGACTTGCGCCCGAGTCAGGCCGGTGCGTTGCGCCAACTCATCCTTCTCCTGTGTCGTGGGATACGGGTTCTCCGGGTGGTTGTTTAGCCATAATCTGAGAGCTCTCACGGCCTCCCCGGATAGACGCTGATGAGGGCGGGCAGAACGGGCAGGCCCGCTATCTGGAGATACTGATGTCGCATCTGCCTGGGATGCAAGCGGAGAGAAGCTGTCAGGAAGCTCCGACGGTAGCGAGAAGATGGGATCTACGCTAGCGGGGTGTAAAACAGGGTCTTCATCGTACAACGGTGGCAGGGATAAGATATCATCACATAATTTAGGGAGCGCCTGGTGAGCGTGCTCCATCTGGATAATGTGCGAACATGCTCACCAGAGTACGGACCTAGATCGATGTGAAGTTGAGGTTGCAAGCGGACAAAATCCTCTGCGCCCTGCCATTGACATCCGCTCCACTTGCCGGCTGTCGGCCGCCTTCCATGGATCCTCTTATTCGCCGCTTGTCCCGACTGTAGCCGAGATCGGAGGGTGATAGTTAGGTAACTTAATCATTAAGTTTGTACGGAGTCTTAGATGCAATCGGTTTGACTCACTCAACTGCACTGTAGGTTTCATCTTGGCAGTTAGGGTTCTCACCCTACTAGCGTTTATTCTAAACCTCTTCTTCAATCTGTAGACATTCATAGCAATCGCGTCACCTACATAATCAATTCATTATGACTTCCACGTCAACCACCACTGCCGTCGAATGGCAGCAGGGTCCCCCGATTGAGCTTGAGTCGAGGGCTCCCAAAAATGCCGTCGCTCCAGTCTCTGACCCCACTGATGAGGTCATGGAGGCCTCCCGTCTGGCCGACGCCGAAGTTCCTGAAGGAGGAGCAGGATGGATAGTTATCGCAGGTTGTGCAGTAATTACCTGGTGGTTTATCGGGACGTCCTACTGCTGGGGTGTGCTACAGGCAGCGCTGGTTAAGGAAGGAGTGTCATCTGCATCTACTCTGTCTTTCGTGGGCTCACTAGCACCAGCGTGCATCTCGTTTCTGGGAATCCTGAATGCTCGCGTGATCCGCAAACTAGGTACCAGGACGTCGGCACTCCTGGGTATTTTCCTACTCGGATTGGGAGAGATCCTTAGCGGATTCGCCGTCCACGAGGTTGGCGGACTTTTTGTTACTTCTGGTGTGGTGATGGGACTCGGAACGAGGTATGTCCCAGTACTACTACTGACTGTACTATGCTAATGAAGTAGTATCTCTTTCATGGTGGTCTCAATCACACCCGCTCAATACTTCAAGGCAAAGCGCGGCATTGCCAACGGTATCGTCTATGCAGCTGGTGGCCTGGGCGGTGCCGCCATCAGTTTCATCCTAGATGCCCTGCTATCCCGTGTCGGCACTGCTTGGACGTTCCGTATTCTCGGATTTATCACAATGGGCACTGGTCTACCTGCAGCTTTCCTAGTGAAGCAGCGGATCCCGATTCCCCCGTCTGCTTTCGTGGAGTGGTAAGCACAGAACCTTCAGCACACGAACTAACCACACCAGGCCTGGCTGACTATAAATGTATCAGGCGTTTATTCCGTGACATCCGCTTCCTGCTTCTTTTCGCAGCCGGAGCCATCGCCACTTTCCCACTGCTCGTTCCGCCCTTCTTCTTACCTCTGTACACCGACTCTCTGGGATTAGGATCAGCCGCAGGCGCTGGTGTCGTGGCAGCTTTCAACTTCTCCTCCGCTTTAGGAAGACTGACCTGTGGATTTGCTAGCGATACTATCGGCGGACTCAACACGCTGTTTGTCTCGCTGTTACTCAGCGCACTGAGTATGCTGATTATCTGGCCTGTTTCAACCTCCATTGGACCGTTGGTCGTGTTCGTGATCATCAACGGGATGGCGAATGGGGGGTTCTTCTCTACTATTCCTACGGTTGTGGGAAATGTATTTGGATCTGCCAGGGTGTCTGTTGCTATGGGTATGATTGTTACTAGTTGGGCGGGAGGGTATCTTTTGGTGAGTGCCGTGCTCTTGATATGCCTTTGCGTCGGAATACTAATGGTGATATTCAGGGCTCCCCAATTGCGGGCTACATTCTTGATGCCTCGGGTGGCGAGGATGCCGGGATCAAGGCGTACAGACCGGCAATTCTGTATGCGGGTTTCATGGCTTTAGGAGCGTCGGTTCTGGCTGCTTTTATACGTTTGAAGACGGATACGCGGCTGCTTAAGAAGGTGTAGCTTGCATTTGAACCAGAATCGACATAGGATGCTCTATGAATTGAATCGTATTAATGTTCTCTTGGGGAAGGGGGATATGGTTATATAAAGTAGTAGTACTGTAGGCGGGAGGGGCGACATACCCTGGCGAGACGGGAATTGAAGATAACTGCGAGTGCAGGTCCCAACAGTATCGAGACGCAATACCTTAATGAACCAAGTTTTACTATTGGTACTCCCGACCGGTAACCCCCGACTGCAAAGCTGAGTGCAAGGTGTCGTCCGCCCGTATCATCTACCAACGAACCCACCCCCACTACCACAGGTCCCTTAACCCCAGAGTACCACCAAGCAGACAATAAAGCAGCAAAATAATCAAATTAAAATGCAACAATAATCCCCATCCAATAAGCCACAATAACAAAGTGCACAAGCTACAACCCCAGGAATGCGACGTTGCCGGATCCGGCCAAAACACCCATCCTCATCCACACCGAAACTACTGCCTATTGGCTCAAATCCAACCCCAGATCCAGTGTGACCTGACACTGCATCACAAATCTCGAGTTTAATGGTAGATCTAACCCTATTGGTGCGTCCCTGGATGGTTTGTTAGGTGGGGTCCGTTTCTATGGAAGCATGAGATGCCACATTCCGATGCGGGAATGGGAATGTAGCGTAGATGGGAATCACCGATCAACACAACTCAATCTTCCTTCCTTTCCCTTTCCACTTCGCTGCCGCTCAGTGAGTAGAGCAGATCTGATTCACCACCGAAATCACCATGTTGCTGCGAATATGGCACATCTTGTATACCTTCATCGTAGTCGTGCAGGCCATTGACTACGATGTCGACGATCCAGGTACCACCCCTACTGCCTCACTATATGCCCCCAATACCTACATACAACCGCCAAACAACTCAACTAACTAAGCCGAACAGATTCCATCAAAGCAGCCTGCCACTCCATCGCCCGCCAAATGCTAACCCACTACACGGGCAACCAACCCGGCGACAACCCAGGCAACCTCCCGGACCCATACTACTGGTGGGAAGCCGGCGCGATGTTCACAGCCCTCGTGGAATACTGGTACCTCACCTCCGACGACACATGGAACAACATAACAACGCAAGGAATAACCTGGCAAGCCGGACCCAGCGGCTCCTTCATGCCCGCCAACCAAACCCGCACCGAAGGCAACGACGACCAATCCTTCTGGGCCTTCGCAGCCATGTCCGCCGCCGAGAGAAACTTCCCCGACCCTCCGCCCTCCTCAGGAAGCCCAGGGTGGTTGGCGATGGCGCAAGCCGTATTCAACACGCAAGCCGCGCGCTGGGACACGAGCACATGTAACGGTGGACTACGGTGGCAGATATTTACGTTTAATAACGGTTGGACGTATAAGAATACCATTTCTAATGGGTGTTTCTTCAACCTTGCGGCCAGGCTGGCGAAGTATACGGGGAATAGCACGTATGCGGACTGGGCGGATACAGTGTGGGATTGGACGGGCGAGGTAGGGTTCATGACGGATACGTATCGGTTTTGGGATGGCGCGGATGTGAGTAGTGGCTGTGGGGACTGGAATTATATTGAGTGGACGTATAATACGGGTGTTTATTTGTTGGGGGCTGCTGTTATGTATAACTTAGTAGGTCTCCCTTCGGTTCTGTTGTGTCTGGGGAGTGAGATTGGTGCTAATGATGTGGCAGACTGAATCGCCTGTCTGGAAAGCTAGGACAGAAGGCATCCTCAACGCCAGCTTCGTCTTCTTTCAGGACGATGTTATGTACGAGCGGGCATGTGAGCCCGTCAATACATGCCAGGTCGATCAGCGCTCTTTCAAGGGGTACCTTGCGCGGTGGATGGCTGCGACGACGCAGATGGCACCGTTCACGTATGATCTGGTGATTCCCAAGCTGCGAGCATCAGCCAAGGCAGCGGCGGAGACGTGCACGGGAGGTGAGCTTCAGGCGACATGCGGGCTGAAGTGGACGGATCGGAAGTGGGATGGAATGGATGACGTGGGGATACAGATGGCGGCGTTGGAGGTGATGCAGTCGACGTTGATCAGTCGGGTTGATCCCCCTGTGACGCAGGATACAGGGGGCACGAGTAAAGGCAATCCGGCAGGAGGAGAGCCGGGACCCGCGCCGGCGCCGGTGCCAGAGGGTTTGAGGTTGGAGATCACGAAGGCGGATAGGGCGGGGGCAGGGATGATGACGGTGATGCTTTCGATGATTGTTATTGGATCCACGGGGTGGATGGTTTATGAGTGATGGCTGGGAGAGCTTCTGAGTTTCATTATGTACATGTTCATATTGTCATTCTCTATGGTAACTATGCTGGTCACAGAATTACTTTCCTACAGGAATGTACTCGTTGATACCTTGGACTGTCCACAGAGCAGGGTGATTGTCTCTCGCGCTCTCCATACCAACCAACATGTTGTCCAGTGCTTTCGTATGTCCCTTCTCGTAGCCTCTGATGCGGAGGTACTCCAATTGCAACGGCAAATGATCCACCAGGACAATATCACCTAACTCACCCATCCGAGTAGCGAGATACCACAGACAACTCACTCCCAGGCTCAAGCTCTTCAACGACACAAACTCCTTCAGCACACTTTCATCCTCAGCATCCTCCCGCACCTCACTTCCACCAGCAGCGACAAAATGAGACAGATGGTCATCAAACTCCAAATCCAACACCTCCAACGTGGCCCTGTGGCGCAAGACAGCCTTGATCAAACTGCACCGGTCAAAGAACTCCGCAAAGCCGGCATAGCAGCCACCATGCACAACCGAGTACCTCAGCTCCTTCAAGCACTTCATTGCATGAATAACCTTGCACAACAAATCTGACTTGAAATCGCACCCCCTCAGATCCAAACGCGAGATACTCGCCGATGAAGGCAGAAGCAAACCTTCCAGCGCAGCACTACTCGCAGTCCCGAAGCCCTGGATGGCCTGCATCCGTAGCGATTCGATGCTGGGAAGGGTACGCACCAGCTCAATGCAGAGACAGAGGTCCTGGGGCGCGCAGGCGCGGGATCGTGCAATATGAAAACTGGAGGCTTCTGTTGTTAGAATCTGAAAATACTTGAGATGGGCTAAGTACGAGATTCTCTTTTCTCCATTTTTGATGAAATGACCCAGACTAGCGCGTTGAAGGAACTTGGCTAGTGGATACTTTTCAATCTTGGCGGCGGAATGGTGGTTGTCAGAAGGGTCATCAAATCGGGGGGATGTGTATTCCCAGAAGGGAGGAGATATGGCGAGAGAAGTTAGGCTTGGGGATGATGCGATCAGGAGGACTGCCAGGGCCTGAGCAATGAAGGGGGATTTGCCGTGGTAGGCGTCCTCTTGGGTGCTGACTGGGTTAGATATGTCGTGTTAATAAAGAGTAATAGGAAACATACTTGTAGTAAGTGAGGTACTGCCAGTCTTTGGCGTAGTCTGTCTCCTGCATGGCCATGTTGAGTAGTCTCTCCTGTTCAGGACCGATGAAGCCAGCCCGGGTGGCGGCAACACGGAGACGCTGCATGTCGCCTGGGTCGACAGGGCGATCGTACTCCCGTGGTTTGTAGTTCAGCGGAGAGCGAACAGGAATATCCATTTCGATGTGGCGAACATAACTGGCGAGGTTACGGTCACGCAGAATGTCGAGAAGGATGGTATATGCATGTTTCAGGTCCGGTGTGCAGGTGATGCGGATACAGCGGTATTTGGTTTTGTTTACGAGGTCGTTGCCGTGAATAAGAGTGAACAGTGAGGGACTGAGGAGAGAAAGGGAGTAGACATCTCCGCTGTGATCGAGAAAGGAGATGACATGCAAGAGCACGTCAGCGGGGAGGATGGAGAGGACTGGCATGATTGTGGGGATTGGATAGGAACAGGTGAGGTTGGAATACACTTGCATTACTCGCCGCGGCTGGAGGGGGGGACTTTCGGCGGCGGCACATTCGGGTGGTCCCACTCGCACATGAGGGGGACGTGCGAGTGAACTGCAATGGTCTAGGCCCGCCTCTCACCATCTCGCCTGTTCTATTTGGTAGTTTGAAGTTAACCTTCTCACTTTACCATAACAAATAGATCTAGACCTCCTCAGATAGGGAAAGCCCTTTCTGGAGAAAATAAGCTAGATATCTGAAAGTTTCGTGGTTCCCTCTATTGCTAAATGTCAACACACTCTATATTATTTGATTTAGTTATCATATAAGGTAATTACCCCCTTCCTGCTTTTTTCAATCTACATGGTTAGTATTAACGCCAGCTGGCAGGTTATAAGGGTCAGACTGCAAATAAAAGATCAGCTCTGCGGGCGCTTCCAAGACCGCGTGTACTAGCGTGGTTTCGATTACTAGTCTCGCACCTACACTAACTGGTCAAAAGTGTTATTAGACATGAAATGTACCACTGGATGCACCCTCTTCGTGTTATGTATATAACTAGTACCTATTAGTGTAAGACGTAGATAACATAAGAAAAACTTAAATATTTTCGGATCGTAGCTGTAGCAACAGGCCTTGTGAGTCATGGGTTTTTATATAACATTTGCCTGATTCAAAGAGGAAACATGTCCGTAATGACAAATAACTTACTTTGAATGGAATCGGTGAAGGCTCACCAGATCTTCGATCCACTCGTGATATCTCATGGATTATTGATGGCCATCACGCAAATATTCGGTCTTTTTTTTTTTTTTTTTTTTTTTTTGAAACGTTGCAGAATGTGAAAATCCATTCTGTACGCTATGTATAAGAAACATCCAGTAGCTTCTATTGATGTGTCGGAAAGAAACTAAACCAGTAAGTCATGGCATTCATGATTCTTTGCCCTCGTCTAGATCGCTGAGAAAAAGATTGTCCGTGTAATTGACTAGTTAAGAGTATTTCCGCCTTGCAACTCAGCCTTGCACGATCTAGCCATTCACGTACATCCTACCTATAAGCTCTGATATGGGATATTCAGGTGTTGTATTCCTGTGGAACCATGGAAATTGAATTTTATTAACAAAGCTACGCAAGATTTGCTCTGCTTCACAGCGGGTGTCTTCATAGCGATCACACGAGGCTACCTCAAGACAGGACCTAACTGACGGATGTGAATTTGGAAAGTGAAATGACAGGATTTCATAGCTTATATTTATACTCAGAGTTTTGTTACAATGGACCGAGACGAGACAGACTACAGAATCGCATGAATGTATAATACTATTGGCTCATTCTTTGGTATTCAATGGAGATGCCACCTAAAAGTATCGAAGATAATCAGAGACCTTAAGAGCATGATACTGCGACATCTTCTGGTATTCGCAAAATACCTCCTCTCGTGGATGGACTTCAAGCCAAAGTGCGGGTCTATAATGCCTAGTGCTTCAGGACTGCCCTGTATCGGATACCACCCGCTCTCAGTTTCTCGAACGCCTCTTCAAGGCCATTTTTGGTAAGAGGAAAAGTCACGATAGTCGGTTTGATATCATGCCGCGCCGCAAACTCCAATAACTCTTGCAGATTGCGCCTCGAAGTGATGAAACATCCCTGAATCCGTATCCCCTTCTGACCGAGGGGAACTAGAGGGATAGGAGTAGGTTCCAGGGTCACAGAAATATGATAGATAACCCCATTTGTATCAACCAAATCAAGTAGACTGCGACGAACATTAGTCAGACAATTTGGGCACATCTAGATGGTGAATATCATGCTTACGAGGCATAATCAACATCGGAGCTCCCACACAATAGAAGATGTTTGACGGGTTTAATGCGGACACCCCGTTGAATACTGGGAAAGGGATAAAATTCTGATGCTCCAAACTCTAGCGCTTCTTCACGTTTCCTTTCGGAGCCTGAAAATGCCACCACATTGTATCCAAGTGCCGCTGCAAGCTTGATCGCGAGATGGCCAAGACCGCCTATTCCCACGACACCAATGCGATCAGAAGGGCGGATTCCATTATTAGTCAGGCAAGACCAGACAGAAGCACCAGCACATATAAGTGGTGCTGCATGGGCCGAATCGTATCCATCCGGAATGGAATAGACGGCATCGGCATTCCAGACAGTTCCGTGGCTAAATGATCCAACATCGAAGTCATGTTGGCCATATGCTCGCTTCTCTCTGCAGTGGTTGTCACAGCCTTACCAGTCCCATGTGCATTAGTTTCAAGTTTGCATTCACGACAACGTAGATTAATCAACATACCACTGAGACAGTTGTCACATCTTCCACACACACGTCGGATAAAGCCGAATCCAACCCGGTCTCCGACCTTTACACTTGTTACGCTGGAACCGATGTGCTTTACCACACCTACTCCCTCATGTCCAAGAGCTTGCTCGCAATGGAGGAAGTGCTCGTCTGTTCCGCATAGGCCGGAATGTGTGGTCTCGATAAAGACATCATTGTCGCCAAGGCGTCGAGTAGTCAATTTCTCCACGATTTTTCCATTAGGTGATCCGTACAGAACTTTGAATTTAAATTCCATTACGGCCTCGTAGGATTTGTCGTTATCGCGCGTATAAGCTTTCAAAGGAAAGGCGACAGGAGAGCGGGGCTTCGAAGGAGTCCCGACGACAACAATTCATGCGATGGCTTAACAATGGCAACCCAGTTCTTACTTGCTATATGAACCAAGGCAGTATGGGCTACTTTCTTAAAGCTGTGGAATTGTCGCAGTCCCTGCTGTCGTTTTATGCCTTATTCTGGTCGACCGCATATGCTAGTATCCCTTTTGGTCTTTTAGGTTCAAGAGAGCAGCGAGAGAGCAGCAAGGGCGCATTTAAATTTAGATTAGATACGGAACTTTGAGTTACAATACCTTCGAGAGTGTGATTGCAAATTTTTTAGATGACTAGAGCCAAATGAGATCATGTAGAAGTGTCTAAACTTACACCATGTCGAACGTGTCCCGTAGTTGAGCTTCGATTTCTCTGGTACCCCTAGGTTGCGTACCTCAGTGATCTATGCTCAATATGTTTGTGTTACACCGTTACTATTTGCTAACTCACCTCATATCACCAGACTAGCGAATCCTCTTGTTCTTACAAATATCGAACGATCGTGTTCTACAATGACTGACTCTCCAGGATAAAAATCAGTTGCCTTTTCAAAACAAAGAGAAAAGAACACGTATCCGAACGTGGTTGTCCTGTGACAGGGATATTGACGATTAAAATGAGTCAAGCAGTGAGGAGGCCGCACGTATCAAAGGTGCTCTGTATATTACGTCAGTGAGATAACGCGCGAGGATGAGAGGAAATGCCAACCAAGATCAATAATCAGGTGTATTTCTGATTATGTAAAAGGATGCAAGGGTTTATCATGTGTTGTACCACATATCTGCACGAACCGTGGCGGTGGAGGCGGAGTGAACTGCACCACGTCATAAGGCTTTATGCATGCTGTATAGACGAAAGGCCTTCAGATAAAAGAGATGGAAAAGAGAACATCATGATTTATCCTTACTCCATAGTTCACGTCACCTGTTTTAAATTTATGATATTACCAGGCACATATGATCTATAACATAGAATAAACCGAGTCAGTATGTTTTCTGTGTCACGAACGTTGCTACCCCCAATACCCTCTGATGAGTTACTGCTTCACACTACATTTTTCACGATTATTCAGATTCTTAGTATGGGAGGGTGGCCCTGTATGCTGAATCTCATACTAGCCACCCTCGCGTCTACTTTGGCAATAGCACCCATCGGTCTTCTGGGCTTTCTTCTCCTTGTCTCATTTTCTTCGCGTCAAATCAGCTGTCTTTCAAAGCACGACCAGACCGTCATAGGGAAGCCTCTCCTTTTTCCTGCCACGCTTGATCATACTCGCCTATCATCAATCAAAAACAAATTCACCTTCAATGTCTTATTTGTCGGTATACCGATAGGACTCAGCTGCCGATTCGGACGACTGCTTTCTATTGATGCAGAAGATGTGGATGAGAATAAGTGCAGTGAGGGATCCCTAGTTCTAGCTTGGTCGAGGTCCCTCTTTTCCAGCTGGTTTAGTTTTGACTCGGCAAGATACCTCCACCGTGGAGATGGCACACTCAGCTTACAGATCAAGTTACAAAAGTTTCTGAAGGAGCATGTATGCCGTCTGATGTTGTTAGACTGAGAGCTATGCTAACATGTATTTAGAATGAGGACCCTGCCAAATGGCCTTACGCGTATATGCTGAGCGTACCACGGTTTTTGTGGTGGGAAAGGAGCGTGGTGACATGGTGGTATTTATATTCACCAAGCAAGGAGTTGGATGCGGTGATTATGGAGATCAACAACTCATTTGATGAGAAAAGAAACGTCTTGTTCAGGGTACAGCGTACGAACACGAATGCTAGAAGCTCAGCAGAGGATCACCAGCAACACGTGGACCTTAAAGAGGAGTACTTAGATAAGGGCAGAAGGGTATGTTCGCTGAACCCACAACGTGAACCATACGCCTACAAAGCGACCTGGAAGAAAGAGATTTTTGCCAGTCCATTTGAAAAGGTCGGAGAAACCATATCTACCACGTTCATGGATCCTGTAGCGCCTGCATCATGGTCGGGAAATCGGTCTCTCTCAAACACGACCACTCTGGATTCCTCTGGATCTCCTAGAATGATAGCCAGGCTTTGGTGCAAGGTACCACCCATCGACCCAAGCCAGGCCTCATCGTTCCAGATCTTTCGTCTCCTCTTGACATGGACTTTGTATATCACCTTGACAACGCCAAGAATCCTCTTTATAGCCATCCGGCTTCACATAACGAACCTTATGAGGATGATGGACCGACCAGATATACGACCTGGGAGCGAGCCAAGACGTGCGACTAATGGGGAAAGGAAAGATGCTTCTCTCAGAATCCTACATGATATTTTTGGGCTAGATACTAATTTGTACAATAGGGCGCTAGAACACTTCTTCCGAGAATATCTCAAACACATCGTTGCCTCTTATCCAGGGAACTTAGAAGTCACATACATACCTTGCAAGTCAGTATCGAAAACCACAACTTGTCTGAAATCTACACAATATTTCAAAGACAACAATCCCATGCATTTGAGATTCGAGGTTATGGATCCAGCCTTCTATTCTCGAATTGTCAATTCCCCGAACGCAAGCATTGCTATGGCGAAGGAAACAAAGCCTGGAAGGTCACATGCTGATTCATTATCATCACCCGTAATTGCATCCGATGTATCTCTATTTGTACAGGTATTAGATCAGACCGTGAAAGGGATCAGGAATTACGATGAGGTCAGCACCGGACTGTCGTCACTAATATTCTCTCTTCGCCGTTGGCTGACTCCCTCGTTCATGGATTTCTTTGTTTGCAATGTCCTCCCGCCTCGTACACAGGATGACTATATCTTGTGTCTAACCCAACTATGGGTGGAGAAAGTGACGTGGAACCTTCTGAGTCCTCATCAGATATACAGCGTGATCAAGGCTGCGGGGCTGCAGTGGGTTATTTGCTGGATACTGTTCCGCATGGCATGACAGATTTGGTGCTTAGCAATGGAAAGAGGTCCAGAGACGTATCAGGATGAGTGTTGCCTGTTTGATCTTATTTTTCCCACTGCCTAGGAAGTTGGACTTTATACTCTCCGGTGACTATGGAAAGTATTCCTCGATCATCAATGCGACAGACTGGTGAAGATGTCGCAGGAAGCAAGCTAAGGATACCGGGGCCTCTGGTAAGGCAGAATCTGATGCATAAATTCGAATCGACTGTCACGCGTGAGCCCATTCAATGTCATGGAAGGGAGGGGCGCGCCGATTTGTTCACTTTAGACGGATATTTTCTTTTCCTGGAAGAGGGCCGACAGTGGAAACGCGCCCCCTACATACAATCCTATGAGAAAGAATCTTTGATGTGAGTAATGTTGCTGCAAAACGTAAACAAGAGAAATATGACTTGGGGTCTTCGCTATAGGTGGCGTTTTCGCTGAAGATTCCGCATTGTTAAATCCCCATTTCCAGGCCAAAGTACAAGTCGACCATTCCAAGCAAGAGGCCTAGCTACATGCATCAATATCTGAGCATAACGCAATTACTATGGAAGCAAGCAGGGTAATACACCCCATGGCTTTTGGAAAGACAGGGTCAGGACTATTATCAGGGTAACCCGCCCAGGCAGTCATGCAATTTTTCGCACAAAATGAGAGCCGTGGGAGAAGCATAGTATCCCAGAATATGTCATACATTGATTTTGTAAGCTCCGAGCCGTAGTCGCTGAAGGTCAATGCGGTGAATAGGCACGCTGGCACAATGAAGACGGGATATCCGGCTGCAGCACTGGAGAGTTGGAGGTCCGGGATGGCTGTGTTAAAATTGCTGCATCACACCATGGTGCTGTCGGGGGATATCACTTGAATCTGCGAGGCTGATCAAGAGGAAATTCGCTACAAAGCCTCCCCAGCTATTGACGCAATATTACCATCTCTTGCATGTAAGGCTAGCTCCAAGCCGCAAATAGTACTTCGGTAATTCCTCAGAGGCAGTTTTAGCATGTAAAATGTAGTAAATTGAGACGAATCATAAGAAGTCGCGAAATACGGAAGAAGAGCTTAGAGGACTCAAGTCAGTGTGGTATATGACGTCTATATACAGCGTCTTTCGTGGTTGGAATGTGCACAATCTATGCAGAATAAATGCTTGGTGCCTACCACGGCGTAGATGATATAATGAATCATTGCTCATGAACAGCTCTTGTTACAGTACAATTACAGCACAAATCAGATGATCCCCTTGCCGAAGCTCCATCCTTGCTTCGGGTGTATAGGTCCCCAGGTCGCCAGGTCATACGTATTTTTGGTTCTTACCAGTATGGGACCTAGTTATTACTAATACTGACTATCGGAAAAACTAAGCTGTAAAAATACACTGTCTCACCAGGTGGTAAACCTGGCGAG